AACCACAAAAAAAACAATGATAAAAATAAATAAATGCTGGTTACCGGAGCATCCAATATGGTAAATCTCGTGGTTTCTGTTTCAAAGTGAGCTCTTCCAACTTCGACTGTTTTCCCCTGCAATGCTCAAAACTTTCAACCCAATGTGCAGACAAAATCATTTAAGAGTCTAAGACCAGTTGTGTAACAAGTAACAACAACCAACAGCAGATGAATACCTTAGCCCTCTCTTCTTCATTTGTATCCATGATATAAGCCATGTACCTATTTTTAAAATAAAAGATCAACAACATAAACAGGGTGCCAGCATTCTTAGAGTTGGATCACGCAATTTTCCAGGGTCAATTACTTTAAGTACAATTAACGATGGACGGAAATAAAGAATAAAATTATGCAAAGATCAATTTTTAAAGAAAGTGGATAACATTTGCATATACTCTAGATGGAAGCTACATTAGTTTAATTGGCATGTAAGTTGCACATTAAAAGACAACAAAGCAAGAATACAGTAACTGAATGCAAATTGAGAGAGACATGCTCGAATCCAAAGGTTATAAACTTCCCCAATACCTGATAACCAGCGCTATCAAAGGCCACTGACGGCACATGGTGGACAACAAAACTTGAATAAGACAGATGACATTGGAGCCTATGCAGACATGTTAAGGTTTGTAACCGAACCGCCAATCGGTTCAGTTGACTGTTGACCACGGTTCCGGTTAAAACTGTAACCGTGAACCATGGTTTAGAGGTCTGGTTGCGGTTCGTACTATGCCGGCATCTTCACCAGTGGTTAACCCTTGTTTCAGCCTTAGTTTTAAAAAAAAATCGAACTCTTTGAATGTTTTGGGAAGGAAAACGAAGGTTCAACCAGTACTTTTTTTACGGTTTTGAATTTTGGCAAACCATAACCATTGGTTAAAAAGAACCGACTTGTAACCGGAAACATGTCTAGGACTATAGTGGAAGGCATGTTGGACCCGACAAATACATATTGTACAAACACACTAAAAGTGCATAAATATAAATGCCAATAAAAGGGACTCACAACTTAATTGTTTTAATTAGTAAATAAATACTAATAAAATGACATATAACGATCAATCTCCAATAATGCATCACAGCTGGATTAAATACTCAGTAAAGAAGCACTCACCAACTCTCCCTACTTTTTTCTTTAGCTTCTTTTTCATATTTCTGGATAGTCCGGTCATCAACCTGACCACTGAGGAATAAGATTTGTCCTCCAATAGTGGACTTCCCAGCATCTGCTTGACATATTTAAATGATACTCATATATACAGCATCCAATAAATCTATATTTATGTAATATCTTGTTTCTCTGATACTCTTCAAGTAAACAAAAACATGATCATAACATTCCAATTATAAATAAAAAAATAAGAAGCATAACATTATTAGGAAAAAGATAAATATAAAGTAGAGCTAACGCCTATTATAAGTCGGCTAATGCTCGCCAAGCAGTGACTATAGCCATGCAATAAACTACATAGAGCAAATGAAGACCCAATCTACCAGCCAATGATATCGCTTTGGAAGGACCATAGTTACCTCATTTCCTAAAGAAAAACTGGACTTTCATATACCATCCCAAGTTTTACAAATTACTGACAAATATTAACAAAAAACATTTTCAGGAACCTCAAATGGAATTCAGCAAAATGCTGTAGTGAGCAGCACTTAGGTCATTAGTGAGCAGAGCATAAGGCTTGAGAAATTAAGGAAGCCCATACCAACATGACCAATAAATACAACATTCAAGTGTCGCTTTTTTTGATCCTCCACTTCATCTTCCTGATCATCTGGAGGAGAGCTTTCCTTATTTTTTACTGGATAACAAAACAAAAACAAAAACACAAACAAATAAGAACTTGGTTCTAAGATAAGAAAGGCACGATAACATTGCATGGAGATCATCAGAGTTAAAATTAGTAAATTTATTTATAATTAGTAACCCAACTATAACCTCTCTGCTTAAAATAAGGAAAAAAAAAAGAACCTAACAACAAACTACAAGAACACAGAAGAATATTATTGAAACCAGTTAAGTAATAATACATGCTCGCTACATACTGCGAAGGAATATAAACGTACAAAGTATATTGGACTGGACATTGTATTACTGAACATACTCTACTTGCAAAAAGCCTACCTACTATGGCATCTTCTGATTCAACTTGAACTGCTTTTGAGTCAGAGTCAGCTGATGATGATGCATCCATTAAACCTAAAGCCATCATCAAAGTGAGCAAATTTTCGGGGCACTTTGCACTGATGAGTAATGTATCCCTTATTTATTTAATCATAAACACATACACCTTTATGAAATTATCAACTACAGAAAAGATATGAATAGCATCTTACATCTGGCAAATATTCTATCATACAAGTTGAATACTAAATATGCATTACTATCAATGTAGAGAACATTTTGGAACTTATAATTGATTCGAAATGCCAGCTATCTCATATCACATATCAGGAAACACCGAAACAAAAAATACGAAATGAATGGAGTTCAAATACAATTTGTCACCCATATATTTTGAAACAATGTATTCTCCATCAATCCACACACAACCCAAAGAAAAGTTGGTTCAGTTCTCCACTTTAACAACAGAAAAAAAAAAAAGGTTAGTGATCATTTATCAAAAAATGACTCTGGTTATCAAATGATTGAACAACCAGGAGCAATTTACTTACGATACTTAGTTGACATTCAGAACAAGTTTCTAATGAATTATGAGTTCAATACATCCTTATTCCTTGCTCATTATCAGACAATCACTTATTCACAAACTTCGTGTGAGACTAATACTTTGCATTTCCCATCTCATGAAAAACCCTTTTCGCTCGGCTTAGCCTTATCCCCCTCTAGGAAGACTTTGGTGATAGGTTCTGTAGGAACTGGATGATCCTATTTGGTTAAATTCCTAGTTACAAACTCCTATGTTCCTTTTATTACGGGATCTCTGAGGAAGTGCGTGGTTAACAAGGATCCTGCTAGTCTTTGGTTCAGGTTTGAAACAAATATCTTCAGTAACAAGGAAAATCAAAACGTTAGTTTAAAAAAACATCTCCAACCAATAATCTATTGAATGAATCATATGTTATACCACCTACCTGCATCATCCTTAACAGAATTCACAGCCGCAGTAGGATTCTCATTGTCCTCATTAGCCACCACACTATCTTCAGCTACCGTTCCAAAGAAAAACAAAAGGTCACATGAGGACAAACTTGGATATCACCATAAGCATATGCTAGCAGCACAAAAGAAAATTAAATACAAAAATCATCAAAACAATAAACATACCAGATGAATCAAGCTGCAAGTCTTTGATGTCATCCGCAATATCTACAATTTCAGGAATTTTTTTATTTTTTTTTTCAGAAAAAACAAAAAATCAGTAACCAAAAAACGAGTGAAATCAAATCAATTCAAATTTGTGAAAATGGCAGACGTGTGACAGACCTGGGGTCGGAAGCGACTGGCCCAACTCCGACATGGTTCCTAGAATCAACACAAAAAATGAAATTACAGACAATGGATTTTATCGAATTTCGGGATTAGACGGCGAAAGGGGGCACAGATTGCTGGCGTCGGCGGCGAAGAGAGAGGTTCAGATGTGCAAGGATTTTAAGCTTTCCGAGCTCTGGTTTTCGTGAGTGAGTAGGGTTTTTAGGCAAGAAAGCCTGTAAAGGTATGTTATGGTGGCCTCATTTCACCCGACTCTGCCCTCATAAGCCCAGTCATTGTAAGAAGTATAGCCACACATGTAAATGGGCTACACTATCGGAGAGGTTATAAAGAGCCTGATAACATTTTGGGCTTCATTCCACTTTGGGTCTGATCTTACACAAGCCTATCATTTATAAAAGAGAATTTTACTCAACACAACATTAAAACTATTTTTATATTTTTTTTTTTATAGATATATAATCCCTAATTTCTATTTTTAATTATATTAACATTTTTGATAAATATATCAAATTTGTCAACTCTCTCCTTTCTCTTTTATTTTTATTTCTTGCCTCCGTCTCTTTCGTAGTTATTTTTTTTTCTTTTATCTATTTTTTTCTACTGCAGCTCTCCTTCCTCAAATTTCTTGTTTTTAATTTTTTTTCTCAAAATCGCAGACCACCCATATCACTTTGGCATGTCGGATGTTGATGATTGATTTAAATACGAACCAACACAAAGAAACTAACATCAAAACCAGCACTAAAACATTGTTCAAAATCCACAAGTTAACCATTAACCTAAAAATACGAACAGATACAAATTGTTCTTGAATAATCCAAACACCTGATGATTAAAAAAAAAAGAGTAAGATTCAATGTTTTTTAACATCATCATTGATTTCCCTTAACGGCAGAGTTTTCGACAATAAGGTCATCATCATAAACCAAAAAGGGTTGAGGTTAATCAGGAGTAGAACTTTCAGCTACAATCTCAGAACCCAGATCAAACATTGCTTCAACCAACTTCTGCATAGTTTCATAGGTAACTTCATCCCGATGAGGGACAACCACCCCGAGGTCGACTGAAAGACGGAGATGATTGCCCTTCAAATTCTGCATGAAGCGAATGTCCTCAGATGTCCTGCCCTTCTCAAAACTCTAAATCATCCAGTCCCAAAGTAAAAATCCAATTAACCACCAGTTTCCCCACATAATCATCCGGCTTAGGGTATTCAGCCAAACAAGTCTTCCGACATGCCTCAAAGTTAACGTTTGCCATGGGCATCTTATCATTTTTAGCATGCGTCATCTCTTTGTACATCAAATTCAACTTTTGATTCAAATACACCATCAAAGACACCACACGCTCTATATGATACTCTTTCAAAGCCTCAATCTCTACCTTATGTCGCTCTTCGACATCAGTCATCTTTGACACCAAACCAAACTCGCCAAACTTAAGATTCTCATATTGTGAAACCTTCAATTCTCCCTCAATTTCCACCACCTTCTACTTCAGGGGCTGATGAAGTTCAAGCTCCTCCTTGAGAGAGTTGAGCTTACCCACACAGAGCTTGTGTTCGACTTTTAATTTGATTGACTCATTCAACGAGCGACGGACCTTAGAGGCGGACAATATGAGGCTGAAAAAGTCCAACCCAGAGACGCAGTGGCAAATTCCATTCGCTCAATAGGCGTATACTCTTGTGTCATATGCTCGACAAGAAGGTCCTAACTCATCATGAGAACCTTTGTAGTACCATAATGTGGTACGCCAAATAATAAGGGTTCGACACGCTGGGAGGAGCAACTGACTTGAATCTAAAAAACCAGTAGTCGCAAACACCAATGAATTGATTATGTCTGGCCTCACGAGCAAGGTCGATCGACAGAAATGACACAACACCCTATTAATGAATGAATGCGTCTTTTTCCTTCAAAGTCTCACCTCCACTAAATCTGACATGAGTATTGGGATCGGTTTGAGGGTTAAAAGCATTTGACCTCCTACTAGAACTCGCTTCACCTCCAAATCCATGTTGGGTTGATTTGGTAGCCCTCTTGGAGACCCAGGCTTTAGTTGTGTTCGTTGCCCACTTGGAACGGGTGGAAGTCTGAGCCCGACTCGAGATGGCAGCTCCCAACCTTTCAACCCCTTGAACGGCAGCCATGGCTTGAGAATTAAGACCAGCACGGTCCATGTCCTTATCTTGCTTGCATTTAAATCACTCCAAATTTTTCGGCATCTTTACCAAGGAGAATCATTTGAGGTCAAGTAAAGGATAATAAATTGTGCAAAGAAAAAACCAAAAAAAAAAAAAATAACTAACTTAATGACAAGATAATGCTAACTTGGTTCAGAAACAAAAAATATCAAATTATGTACCCCCTAAATGAATGAAATATAAATCCAATGAAGATAAAATATCGACCTAGAGCGAAAAATTTATTGACTCGGTATGAAGTCCCGCATTGACAATTAAGGAATCCTCGACCAAAGTTTGACCTATTCGATCACGCTCAACCAAATTACAAAGTCGATCAAGAAGACGTAATTGAGAATTGGAACAATAATCCTCGCTGAAACAAAGAGAAGACAACATGTTAGTATAAAAATACAACATGAATCGAATTAGTAAGAGAAAAAAAAAAAGAGAAGATAGTGAATTAAAACTCACAAAGTTCGGTAACAAGTCTAGTTGGAGCAGTAAAAATGTTCCCTACTTTCACATCATCAGCCGACCTCAAAGTCTGCCAATTCTCACTTATCCATAACCACTCATTCTTGAAAAAGTAGAGTGAATCTAGGACTCTAGTTACTATTTTCTTAAAGGATCTATCTCTAGCTGAACAATAAAAACATCATACTTCATAGATTCTTTAAACCATGAATCTCACTAACTGAAGTTACATGCATCCTTCTTAGTAAAAAATTACCAAAAAGCCAATTACTCTTATCCAGGCGTTCGGGTGAACCTAACTTATGCTAAATCCTAATCATTAAGATATGCAGTTAAAATCTGTGGAAGAGAAAATCACAATTCGAATGAGTGGTAAAAATACCTATACATCCAGTTGGAGGACTGTATATCCTCTCTTCGGGGTACGGAGCAAACATCCTGATTGAATGGGATCCTTACGATTTATCGAATTTTAACTTCATCGCCGTCCTTCATTATACTAGGCACATGATTAAATTCAAGTACATAGTAGTCGGCCATTAACGAGGAGGTCGACGTCAATACCCATCCGAGGCACTGACAGCGTGTTCAATCTCTAAATCGGTCTGTTCATCCCCACGGATTAGGGGTACCCTCTCTCTACCCCATGTATCTCCCAACAAAGCCTCATTAACTAAATCCTCATCAAAACTTTCGGAAGAAGAAGAATATATAACGAAATAATGCAAAAGAAAACTATTAGTAAAAGGAAGCGTCTTACAGAGCACATAATTTGATATTTTTTTTGTTTCTGAACCAACAAAGTATAACGAGCAAAAAAAAAAAGTAGATGAGTACATGGTTTGTTCGGTTATTTGCTCTGAAATTTATGATAAATCATTAGATAAGTCAAAGGTAAATAGTGGAAGTCAAAAGGAACGCTATTTAAGGAGATTGATTGGCCTGTGAACTGACACCATCTGGAAAACTAGCGTCGGTTCAAAAAGTTGAAACATAATCAATTTCGTACTTACTAAAAAATGAGAGACCAAGTAGGAGTCAACATGTGTTCCTCGACCTGAAAACTTACCAGACACGCCACTTAATGATAATTCTGTACACATCAAATTTTTAATATTTTATTAGTTAATATCTTTATATCTTTTTTGAGACAAATCTAAGATAAATAAGATATATAAATAATAATGTGATTATTTCTTGCCAACCATGTAAAATTCTAGGATAAGAAAATATATTATATTAAATCATGAAGGACAATCAAATTGATGTCTTATTCTCCAAGACTTTCTCTCCAACACCTTTAAATAGGGATCTCTCAAATCCAAAAGACACCTCATAAATCTTTCTTGTACTCGATTATGGAGATGAGCCGAGTAGGGTGAGTGAAGGGCCTCTGCTTTATATATATTCGGGCCTAGTCATATTATGTTACTTTGTGTTTATTAGTATAGTTATATTTTGGATTTTGTTTGTAGATGTAATTGGGCCTATTATGAGATGTAGTAGTTGCTAAGTGGGTTGATATTATTAGGCTTAATTAGGACCCGTGAGTGGTTATTAAAAGGGGTGACAAACGTGAAATAAAGTAAGATTTGGATGCCAAAAATTATCTCTCTCTCTCTCTCTCTCTCTCAGTTTCTCTCTCCTCTAATATTCTCTCCCTCCTCCCCTTTTCACGTGTTCTATCCTTTCGCCCTCCTCCATTTCTGCAACTCCTTCTTCTCAAACAACAAATACAGAAAATCATACAAAAAATCAATACTGTTATAAATATATTAATATGGACATTACTAATATATAATTGGGCCTGAAGTCCATTAGTTAGTAGGATTAGGGTTTAGGGTTTCTCTCTTGTAAACTCTATAAAAGAGTGAATACCGATGAATAAAAGATAGACTTTTTTGCTTCTCTTTTCTCGTTCTTTTACTGCACCTCTTTTATGCTTGGATTGATGGATGCTTGGTGAATATTGAGGACGCCAATTTACAACACGTCGTCAGCACGCTCTAATTCGTTGTTGGTGTTGCCCTAGGAAAAAATCGTATTTTTCTTGCAAGGTACTTTCGAGATCCATATTCTATGAATTGATAGAATTACATGTTTAGGGTTTATTCAATTCCGCCTAATAGTTATGGATATACCCGTTAAATTTCTTACATGTGGTATCAGAACATGTGTTTATGCATATGACAAAATTGTCGATCACAGTTAAATCACGTCATGTATGTGTATTAAGATTAGAAATTAATGCATTGAATTGTTCTTAATTGCCGCAATGTTGTCTAAAATAATTGTTGCATACTGGATGGTAAATAAGTTTGGGATTTATTTGCTTTTATGTATGCCCAGCAGTGGCACAAAGT